TCGGGGGTTATTCTGTGATAACAACCGGCTTGATGTACATTATCCCTTACATAAAGCTTGCACAGATTTTCGTCGCAAGAGCTTTAACCTGGGGTTTTCAAACTTTTTAATACCACAAACCTTTAAATACAATTTTTTCCCTGAACTTTTCTGTGGACCCCCAGACCCCAGTGAAAACAACTCGTTTAAAGATGATCACCTACAATAGGTCATTTTTCTGGGTGGTTTCTACTAGGTAGCTGTTTTTTCTTTGCCTAAGTCAAATAAGTCCACAATTAAGTGTCAATAATATTATAGTCTCTAAAAATAATTGTATTATCTGCAAGACAAAAAAGTCTGTTCGCCTTGAAAAGTAATACAATTCGTACCTTTCCTTATCAAGCTGCACAATCACTCTTGTACAAATTATTATGCTTATTGCTTAGTGTTAGGGTTTGTTGAAATACATGAGCAATAGTAATAGCAAACACCACAATCTAAAAGTTTATCAGCTGTGAGAAATGTACACAAAGAATCTGTTACCATTCCAAGTTACATAACCGTCAAACAATATTCTTTTAAATAACGCCCACTTGTTTAATATCTGATCTTTCCAAATGGATAAATGTTCAGATATCCTGTTAAACAGCCCCTCCTCTTTAGTGTACTGTCTATGTAGGATAGTTGGACAGTTTGGATTTGAATAACTCTTTCGTTTAATATTGCGTGTATGCGTTAGTGTGTAGTTCTTTGTCCGTCAGTGTCTGTTGTCCTGACATGCAGTGTGCTGGCAGGGAAACAAACACGCTGTTTGTAGTAGCAATGACTCACAAATTAACAGAAGCTGGAAAATGGGCCAGTGAGACCAGCCCGTCATCTCTCTATGGCTTTTTCAATCCATCTCTTTTCAACCTCCACAGCTGCTGACTTTCAACTGGTTTGACTCACGCTTTCAATCTGAGTAATACTGAACTCTTAAAGATGTAAGCAGTTTGATAGTGTGTGCTGAAGATCTACCTGAACATAACAGGCTATTCATCGCCAATGAATTCAAACTATTCAACATCTAACCAATATATTTCTGCATATTCCTTTCTTTCATTACATCTGTTTTCTCAAACTGTTCTTTGTAGTCATCAGAGGCTTATCTGTTTTAACCTACATTATCATTGCAAATTACATCACTATGACACACCCCTACTATGGGAACCGACCAGCCAATGAGAATTGACCTTAGGCTAAATTCTGTTAACATGAAGGTGAGTGAAAGGACAGTAGATTAGGAGAGGAGTTTGAACTTGATTTTTTTTTGTGTCAAAGGGTGTGGGAAAGGCCGGGTGTCTGCCTGTGGAAATTAGGGATATGCCGGTATCAAATTCTCATGTTGCGATTCAAGTGCCCACGATAACAATATCGTGCATATTCATTACCGTGATATATCGCATTACCGAATACCGGCACAAGTCTAGTGGAAATGTTATATCACAATTTTAAAGAACAAATTTAAAGAGAAAGAAAGCATCCATAATTCAGTCCACATTCAGAGGGTGTTTTTCAAATGTGGTTTATGAGAAAAAACTAACTCTTAAACTCTTAAAAAAATTATAAAGGCCATACCACAAACATAAGCAATACATATTTATTTCTGTGGCTGTTAACAATTTACAGCATTCATATTGTTTGTATAGGCTCAAGAAGAGGATGAGTTTTCAATTGCAGCATTGGAGGGTGGGCTGGAGCCATCAGTAGCAGATGACTCAGCTAAACATGCACCTCCGGGTGCTACATTCCAGTCTGAGGCTGACGCTGAAATGGTGACCGTGCTTATCCGGCAGCTGAGAGCAACTGGCTGGAGTGGACTCCCCCACCCTGCCCTGAGTGCTCTCGACTGGATGATTGGTTGCAGCCGCACTCCACCCCAGTTCCTTTCTTCCCGGAAGTGCACGAGGAGCTGATGAAATCGTGGAAGGTACCTTTCTCTGCCAGACCACTGTACACTGGCTCCTCCATTCTCACCACCCTGATGGCGGGCCAGCGAGGAGGTATACAGAGGTTCCCCAGGTGGAGAGAGCGATTGCGGTGCATCTTTGCCTGCAAGATTTTGGCACCTGGCGATACAACTGAGACTCCCGTCCAGGGCATGTAAGTTTACTTTGTCCCTTGTGGTGAGAGCTTACGCTGCCTCTGGACAGGCTGCATCTGCCCTGCATGCCATGGCTATCCTGCAGGTCTGTCAAGCCAAGGCAACCCTCTACATTGCGAGTAAATCACTCGCATATGCGACTAAATCTTCACTCTGGCGACTAAATGATGTCTAATATTAGCCAATGGCTAATAAATTCTCAGATTTTACTCGCCAGTGTGTGAGTTGGAGGCTAAGTATTAAGTTTAGCACAGATATATTTTCACTTGCCGAACACTCTGACTGAGCGCTTCAGAGTTTCCCTCTCCGCCAAGCGACCTGTGCTATTTTTCAGTTCATCTCAATGGATGCGCAGCGCACCTGTATTTAACGTACCGTAAACTCTACTGTGAAGGCGCACGACTCGCCGTCACTGTCTCACACACACGCAGAGAGAGAGAGAGAATTGACGCGCTACGTGTAAACGGTATTCTTTATTGTATTTTCTTGTCAAAATAACAGCGCTCCTTCTTTGGAATTCTTTAGCTTTTAAGAACTGCCGGGTTTTCCGGTAGTGGGCGGAACTAATGCGCAAACGGCAATCTCATTGGCTGGCGCTCACCAATTATCATCCCTGTTTTGATTTCAGCAAATCAGTTCGAGCGAACGCACACAACCTGATTAATATT